CTCTTTGTTTCTCCTGTCTTAAGGAAAGCTTAATCTTCAAAAAATTTGATGCTTTTTAAAATTTAGAACCATCTTCAGACAGATTCTACATACCTCTCTTAAGTAAAATGTACCAGGGTGTCTCAATACCAAAAAGTCCACCTCTTGTCATCCTTGCAATAAGAAAGCCTCTGTGAGCCCTCTGTTATGTCAGACCTTGTGTGGAGCACTTTATATAAACCTTGGGCAGCCTGAAAGGTGAAGACTGACTTACCTCAGAGGTCTCTTGAGGAAACTTGTACTTAGGGGGAAAGAAAAAAAAAAGTGCCCAAGGTTAGACTGCTATTGTCAGAACTGGAATTTAGCTCAGTTCCACTTTTCTTCAAAGTCTGCATGCCAGTTGTATGAGAATTGAGAACAGGAGAGAGGGACAAAAGCCTGATTACCGTATATGCCTTTCATAGCCCTTTTCCTCTCTATTCCACCAGCCTGTCTGTGGTGAATAGCCCAACTCCTCAAAGTGAGCAGGAAGACGAAAAGTGTGGGTTCCCTTGTATAGATCTGCAAAGTTTATCTTCGTTTCAAATCCTAATTCTCAAGTTCTCTTTTATTCTCTGTTGGCGCTGTGACAAATTATTAAAAAGTTAGTGGCCTAAAACCACACAACTTTATTGTACGTTTCTGTAGATCAGAAGTCTGATGCAGATCTCAGGTTGAGATCAACGTGTCCTTCTCTGGAGGCCTTAGGAGAAAAATCCATTCCCCTTGTCTTTTCCAGCTTTTAGAGGCCACTCACTTTCCTTGCCTCAAGGTCCCTTCCTTCAATTCAAAGCCACCTCTGATCCTTCTGATTCCCTCATCCACTTTTAAGGGGCCCTTGTGATATATTAGGCCCACCCAGGTAATCCAGGATAACCTTCCTATTTTAAGGTCGCTGATGAGGAACTTGAGTTCCATTTGAGAGACCTCAATTCCCTCTTGCCATATAACCTATTTATAGGTGCCAGGGATTAGGATGTAGACAACTTTAAGGGACCATTCTATTTACCACAATTCTTGACTTGCTGATTGTAACTTACTTGTGGGTGAACTAAGCTTTTGGAGTTAAAACACATCTAGGATCATAGTAAATATGTTTAAAAGTTAAGAAAAATACCAACAATAGATAAGAAAATGGAGTGACAGTTAAACCACTTGGCTATATAAAACTAGTTAACTGCTAAATTTCTAATCAGGTATGGTCTTAGTTTTTAATTGTAGCTATGTTTTTAAAGAAGGATATGAATCAAGTTAAAATGCATTATGAGAGCTTGCTAATGAACCAGATTTTATTAAAGTGAATAGTTGACTTAATTTTAACATTTAAATGTACCAGTTGCACTATTTCAGTCTGCTCAGATCCCTTTAAAACACTGGTCAAGTTACCACTTACTAATGACTATTTGTCTCCCAAGGCAAATCTTGAATAGAATTGGTTACTACTTTTAAAAAGGTGTCAACCCTGATTCTTTGATTCCTGTTTCATAAAGAATTTCAGTAATTCATGTATAGAGCAAGAAATTTTAGGTTAAGAGCTAGAAAGGTCTTGAAAACACGAGTCTACTTTATAGATGCAGAACAGAGTCTTTGGGTGGGGGAAACCAGAGTACTTAAAGGAGGCCGTGAACTCAGTATAACTACCAATATCCCTAAATACCTTTTTCTGTGAAGTAATTCAGTGTGTGTATGGACATATCTGCCCAAGCTGTACTTTAAAAATATTCCTTATTTTTAAAGAGAATACTTCCCTCCTCTGTCCCCAAGTCAATTTTTTGCAGCAACTTTGTTGAATCTTTTAAAAGATAAACATTGCCTTAATTTTTTTATTTAAATCAAGTTAACATATAGTGTAATAATGGTTTCAGGAGTAGAATTTAGTGATTCATCACCTGTAACACCCAGTGCTCATCCCAGCAAGTTCCCGCCTTAATGCCCATCACCTATTTAGCCCATCTCCCTGCCCACCCTCCCCTCCAGCAACCCTGTTTGTTCTCTGTATTTAAGGGTCTCTTATGGTTTGCCTGCCTCTTTGTTGTTATATTTTTCCTTCCCTTCTATGTTCCTCTATTTTGTTTCTTAAATTTCACATGAGTGAAATCATATGTCTTTCAATGACTTATTTCACTTAGCATAATACCTTCTAGGTCCACCCACATTGTTGCAAATGGCAAGATTTCATTCTTTTTCATCGCTGAGTAAATACTCCATTGTGTGTATTTACACACACACACCACATCTTTATCCATCAGTGGATGGACATTTGGATTTTTTCCATAATTTGTTGTTGATAGTGCTGCTATAACCATTGGGGTGCATGTGCCCCTTTGAGTCAGCGTTTTTGTATCCTTTGGATAAATACATAGTAGTGCAATTGCTGGATCCCTAATAGGGTAGTTCTATTTTTAATTTTTTTAAGGAAACCTCCACACTGTTTTCCAGAGTGGCTGCACCAGTTTGTATTCTCACCAACAGTGCAAAAGTGTTCCCTTTATTCTGTAGCCTCTTCTGCATCCTCTGTTGTTTCCTGTGTTAATTTTAACCTTTCTGACAGATATGAGGCATTCACCGTACTATAAAACATGTTTACATTCAACACTTTGTGTTTCAGAAGCATTGTAATGTTTATAGTAAAGTTATCTTAAAGGGTTTCTGTATCAATTATTTCTATTTTGTGCTGGAAAAACACAGGAAATCTTCAACACTATCATCCCAAAGATAGCAAAAATGAATAATGATAATTCACATGAAATTTAAAAATTTTTAAATGTTTTATTTATTTTTGAGAGAGAGAGCAGGAGTTGGAGAGGGGCAACATGACCCGGAGATCATGACCTGAGCTGAAGTCTGATACTTAACTGACTGAACCACCCAGGTACTCCCACCACATGAAATTTTAGATTTTACAGTAAAAAAAAAAAAAAAAGTTTTCGAGTCATTTTGATTTATAGGAAATTGGTAGATAGCAGTTTTAAATTCTTACTTATTTGGTGCCTATTCTATTTGGTGCTTGATTCTTGGAATTGAATGGTACAATTCGCCTCCAGTCTTGGAGCTTGCAGTGTAGTGCAGAAGACAAGTGATCACATCTTCATGTGAAACTGCAGCTGTGAGAAGCAACTTGAACAGTAATTCTCAAACTTTTTGGTTTCAGGATCTTTTTACTCTTTAAAAAGTTATTGAGAACCCAAAAAATGGGTTGTACCATTTAGCATATTAGAAATTAAGATGTTATAATTTACAAATAATTGTTTACTTCTTTAACACTGATCCTTATGTTAATGTAAATTTGTGTGAAAAAGAACTTACACTAAATTTGGTAAGAATGTCATGGTTTTCATTTTTGCACATCTCTGGATTCTCTTAACTGCCTCTGCATTCAGTGTTTTGCAATATGTCATCTCATTTGAAATATATGAAGAAAACCTGGCTTCACATGGAATTGTCATTGAGAAAGGAAGTACTCTGTGGATCCCCAGAAGACTTAGGGGCTCTCAGAGTTCCTTGTTTTATACTTAAGGAAGTGCTGCTTTAATGATAGGCACTTTGTATCATGAGAGAACATGTAGCCTATCATGGGGGTGTGGTTCATTGGAATTTTGTTAACCTTTGAGAACAGCTTTATTAGCTTTATACATAAAATGTATGTCTTTAAAGTGAGATCTAATTATCAGCCATCAAAATGAATTTTTTAAAGATCAGTTATTATCTTAATATCACCAAAGTTAGATGAAATGGTATGGGCCAAAACAAATTTAGGTCACAGTTTTTCAGCCAATATGGTTGGATGGAGTTTTCTTACATGGTTTCTGTTAAAAAACAGAACAACACACACACACACACACACACACACACACACACACACACACAGCCTTGGAATCAGTATATAGACATTCTGTAGTTCTACCTTACATTATACTTTGCTCATACACCTTTTCTAGTGTTCATATACCTGGGGGTATGTTGTGTGCCATTGAATGGTGCCAAAGTTCTTAACTTTAGTTCTGGGGCCCTCCAATAGTATCTGTAGCCTTCTGATTGCAATGGTGTGGCAAAAACAAGTGCCCCCCTGCAAAAAAATTTTTTTTAATTCTTCAAATGATAAATTGGTTAGTTTCTTTGTATAGACTGGAACCTGTACAGGCAGATTTTGCTTAATAGCAATGAGCAGCTAACCATGCACCTGCCCCTTTATTTGTAAACCATTTTGTCCATTTAATAATTAATATATCTTTCCTTTCAAACTTCACATGTTGCTTATTACCAAGGTAATATTTTTTCTCTCCAGGTATAGTCCTACCTATTAGTGTATTGTGTCAGTCGTGTCGTCATTTGCTTTCTTGGTGGCCAAATTGTCATAAATACCACACTCTAAAAATGCTAAATAACAGCAGCAATAACTACTTCCCAATATGCAATGGTGGGGTGGGGAGAGAAAATGCTCTCTACAATTATATCAATAACTGGTGATTGGGTAAAAGGAATTTTCTCAGGTTACTATTTTTGATGGCATAGATACAATCAGTACAATAATTTTTCAATGGCATTATTCAGAACCTATTTAATGCTCAGTTTTGAGATCTGTAGACTTGAAAATTTAGGTGTAAATGAAGTTTAATTTTTAAATTTGATCAGTTATGTAAGTACATGGCTTAAAAAGTCAAGTAATTTTATAAGGTTTGTAAACAAAACCCCGCAATGTTTGCACTACTCCTCTCCAGAGGTTACTATTTTCAGTTCTTTTAGATATTTCTTAGGATATGTGTCTTCATATTTGTGACATGTATGCTTTAAAAAAGGTTGCAACAATTGTGGTATCTATTAATGTCTTACTATGGGATTTAAATGTTTAACCCTCACCAGCCAACTCCTTTCCTCCACCTTCCATCTTCCCACATTCATGCAATAACTTTGGTTTTAGTACATATTTAAATTTCATATTATTGCAATCATATAAATATTCATAGCTGAGCCATACAACAGAATATGATTGTGTAGTTTTTTTCTTATATAATTTTTATTTTTCCTTTGGTTAATAATTTGCTTTTTATTTTATTTTTCTTTGTATCATTTAAAACCAATTCACAGATGAATAAACACTACATGAACTAATGGAGTGAAAACTTTCGAATCAACATGTTTATAGATATTGGATATAGGAAAACCAACCAAAATCATTTCTTTAGCTATATTTTATAAGCTTATAAATAAGGTATGTTAGCATTTAGACTATTTCAGTTAATAATAAATAGCTGATTTCTAGTAAACAATGTGCCACAAATAGTTATCAAAATACAGTTACATATATATTTTGTATATCAAAATTACCAGTATTTATGTCATTAATTTTGTTCATCTCCATTAAAAACATTATATCCTTCTGATTTAATTAACTCAATTTTTTTTGAGTCCTGAAAAAATACATCTTTAATTTTTCCAACAAAATCTCTTTTAAAAATCTCTTGAGTAACAGTATTTACCTTTCGGCCATATTCAAAGCCCCCTAGATAACTAATGCCATCATAGTTTAAATCAACAAATTTTTTGTGTGGATCAATATCCTCCAAGAGAATTAGGTTGTTATCTAGGTAGGCCTTAATAACAGTCTGATTTTGAATTACACTTACATGGTGCCATTTATTACAAAAGAATGTGCCATTGCTATAGATCATAGGCACAGATACGCTTTTTCCTAAGTTAACTGCTATTTTCAAGGACTGATTATGGAGACCAATTGCCAGAAAATCATTTTCTTCCTTTTGAGCTTTTCCTATCCATACAATTAAGCCTTCTGTTTCAGTAGTACTGAAATTTAAGGATATAGTAGTGAACTGAAGGTTTCTCATTCTGTAATCTGGATCAATGTATTTAATATAAGAATTACCCATAAATTTTGCAGTTGAAAATGAAGTTTTGTTTTCACAATACTTTCCCACCCAACCCAAAGCACAGAAACAATTGTAAGAAAATGATTGGTCGGGTATACATAGAGATTGGTGGAGACAAAGATTATTTGAACAGTGCGCAGACTGGTTACATGTATTTCCAGTCCAATGTGGCAAACATTTGCAAGAAAAAGTTGTGCCATTTACTATACATTCACCCCTATTTCTGCACACCTTGTACCCACAGGGGGTCCCATCACAGTCACCTACATTTGCTCCACTTTTTGCTCCTAATTCAGTTAATTTTAACTCTTGATTATTTATAATAACTTCTCGGACACAGCCCTGAAAACCTGCAGGTTCATTTGCTATTGACATAGGATTTACAAGATTTAAAGATGGCATTCCTCCAACATAGAAGTCAGTATTTGTGTCCAGGGAGCTCATTTTTGCATTGGCTTTTTCTGTTACATTTATCCCATCCAGATCCAGGTAGCCTTCCGCACCAACTCTTCCTGCTTTAATCACATGCCAAATACTTCCATTAGTAGTCACTTTTTGGAGAGTTTCTAGAACGATAGTTCTGTCACCAAGGTTGTAGCGAAGTTGAACAGAACCATTTACTAAGGAGATACATAAAAAATCACCTGTTGAGAAAGAAAACCAGTTAATTAGTAACAGGAAAATGTTACTCCATTAAAAACTCTTGCCCTTTCTGGCCATTTGAGTAAGTTTTGGTTTTGGGCAAAAAAAGGCAAGTCTTGATCACAACGTTAGAGAATTTTATTTCCATCTACAGATGAAAATATATGGGTATTTATTCATACATATATCCTGTATTATTCAGGAATTGGCCACATAACCTTTTCCTAGTTGTAAATATTTTGCATTGAATGAAATGTATTGTGGTACTAAGTTAAAGTGAAGTTTACCTTTAATGATTTTATCTAGTTAAGGATGAATGTGTAAAAAGCTTTTTTAAAGATGTTTTTACTCCAGACATCTGATTCTGCTTTTTTGACAGAGATTGAGGCAGTAAATAAGAGAGTTAAGAACAGTTAATACGGGTGCTATGAAAAAGTTTCAGCCATGTCCTTGGCATCAAGTTCTACTACACACATCCCTAGTTGAGATCTCTCTAAATTTCGTATCTCAGTTTGTGAACTTTCTCCCATACACCTGGCATCTTCCAGTCTTTGCAAACTCAGTGAGTCACTTCCTCATCCTCCAGTTCTTCAAACTAAAAATTTAGCTGTGATCCCTGATTCCATATATTTTTTTCCACACATAAACAGGTTTATTAACATTTTGGTTCACTGCAAACATCTTGATTCTGTCCGCCTTTGCCATCTTCATTAGATTCACTAGCTTTATTTCTAGCTCAATCTATTTGCTAGAGCCTCTTCACTCTTCCTTCCTAATTGAATTTCGAATCTAAACTGAAGCTAAAGTGATCTTTTCAACTGAAAAGATCTGGTCATTATACTACCCTTTAATGGCATTTGCTGTTGAGATAAAAGCCTAAAATCTTTAACATCTACAGAGGCTCTGCAGGTTTCCCAGCCCCTTTCTCCAGCTTCACCCGGAGTGTATTCTCCCTCTTCCTCCACTCTCTTTACTCCAGCAACACTGACCTTGTTCTTGCCTCCGAACGTTTGTGCACATTGTTTTCTTTTTCTTGGAACACTCCACCTCATCGCACCTCATCTAGGAAACTCCTATCCTTCAGGTCTGAGATCAAATGCCACTTCCTCAGAGAACTGTTCTGTGATACCACAGAGTTGGTCAGGTTTTTTATTTTATTTTATTGATAGCAGCACCACATTTCTCTCCTTCACAATGTTTACCTCATTTTATAATTATATAGTCATCTGGGAACAAATGTGAATAAATATGATCTAGCCTGTGTATGAAGTTGCAGTGAGGCATTCAAAGGAAAAGTAAATGCAGCTCTCTGTGCCAAGAAAAGAATGTGGCCCTTCAAGGGTAAAGCTGCTTCAAGAGGTTAGCAAAGTGATTTACATAACAAATCCTGCAGATGTCTTCCTCAAGATAGCATTTTCCCTTCTCCCTAACATTTCACAACCAATAAAATTTCTTATCCAAGGAGATTTCTTGGCACATGCTATTCTTCCTTTTCTCCTTGGGCAGTGCAACACTGCCTCACCTCTCTCCCAGTGTCCTTTCCTTCTACTCCCCTTTGTGGTCCCCTTCCCACCATTATTCTAAGAAGACTGGAATATGTAGCAGGTCTATAGTCCTAAACCTATGATTTCAACTTCAGAAAACTATATGAGCCCATGCAAAGTATGGTTCTCTGAATCATTTTCCTCATAGAGAATTTCTAGTGACTATAATCTGTCGTTATACCTGTGATTATTTAATAGGTGCCTCAGCCTCATCCACTAGCTCGTAAGCTTCATGGAAACAGGGTCTGTGTCTGATTTGGCCCAACGGTTTATCCCCAGCACCTAGCACAGCACCTGGCACATACTTAGATGCTAAATAAACAATTATTGAATTAAGAAATCACCTTTAGGAATGGCTGGGTGGCTCAGTCTGTTAAGCATCTAAATCTTGATTTTGGCTCAGGTCATAGTCTTGCGGTTGTGAGATCGAGCCCCATGGGGGCTCCATGTTGAATGTGGATCCTGCTTAGGATTCTCTCTCTCTCTCTCTCTCTCTCTCTCTCGCTCTCGCTCTTGCCCTCACTCTCTCTCTCTGCCACTCCCCCGCTTGCACACGCCTTCTCTCTCTCAAAATAAACTTAATAAAACCCCAAAAACAGTAAAAAAATGATTAGGAAAGCTAAAGCTGCAATCTATAATATCAAGTTGCCAACTCTAAGTGCAAAGAGAATAAAGGAAGGCTTATTTTAATGCAGTTTTGCTGGTATGTTGTCTTATGAAGAACTGACCAAAAAAGGTGTTTTTCTTTTCCCCCTTTGTGTCCCTGGAAGCTAAGATTGCTCTTGTAACTGTACTAACAGATTTTGTCATGCAAACCTTTTATTTTAGTTGACTAGAATATGGTGCTGTAGTCATGGGTTGTGAGAACAGATTGGCATTAGGATAAGTATATGTTAGAAATTGATCCCTAGTGGACAGTCCTTACAAGAAACTGAACTCATAAATGGAGTGAAGATCATAAATGAATTCACTGTTGCTATTGTTCTTTAAAAAAATTGTTTTTGGGGCGCCTGGGTGGCACAGTCGGTTAAGCGTCCGACTTCAGCCAGGTCACGATCTCGCGGTCCGTGAGTTTGAGCCCCGCGTCGGGCTCTGGGCTGATGGCTCAGAGCCTGGAGCCTGTTTCCGATTCTGTGTCTCCCTCTCTCTCTGCCCCTTGCCCGTTCATGCTCTGTCTCTCTCTGTCCCAAAAATAAATAAACGTTGAAAAAAAAATTAAAAAAAAATTGTTTTTAATGTTTTATTTATTTTTGAGAGAGAGCACGAGCCGGGGAGGGGCAGAGAGGGAGTCACAGAATCCAAAGCAGGCTCCAGTCTCTGAGCTGCCAGCACAGAGCCTGACAGGGGGCTCTAACTCATGAACCATGATATCATGACCTGAGCTGAAGTTGGATGCCTGACTGAGCCACCCAGGCATCCCTGTTGTTATTCTTTTTAATGTTTATTTTTGAGAGATTCGAAGCAGGCTCCACACTGAGAGTGGAGAGCCCCATGTGGGGCTTGAATTCGCCAACCTCAAGATCATGACTTGAGCTGAAGTCGGACACTTAAAGGGACTTGAGCCACCTAGGCGCCCAGGATGATTAGGCTTTTTAAAAACATATTTGTGAGGCTTATAACTATAGCAAGATGAATCCAGGCTATCCATGATCAATTTGTGCTTAACATAATATTAATAATTTTTATGTATCAAAACACTTTTTCCTAAAGATCGCAAAGGGTGATCTCTTTTTTTTTTTTTTTTTTTTAGAAAGGGTGCAAGTGAGCAAGGGGCAGAGAGAGAGAATCCCATGAGGTGCAGAGAGGGAGAGAGAGAATTGGGACTCACCCTTGGGGCTCGAGCTCACCTGATATGGGGCTTGAACTCATGAACCATGAGATCGTGACCTGAGCCAAAGTCTAATGCTTAACCAACTAAGCTACCCAGGTGCCCCACATTCACTTTAAGATATTAAATTCTTACCAGCAATGGATAAACAGGTGCCAAGGATTTATTTCTTTAAAATTTATTTCCAAAATGAAAGATCTAAAATCAACTAGCATAATTTTAAAATTATCATTTTGTTTCAAATTTTATGTTAGATTATTAAAATTATTAACCTCGAAATAGACACAGATACTTTACTAATTGAGAATTTGGTCTTCTACATATGAAAACCTAATTGGTTGTTGACATCTAAATTTGTCTTTTTTTACATTGTGTACTAAGTGGGCACTTTTTACTGAAAGTTCCTCTTAGCAGAGAATCAGCTAGAAGACTTAGTTAAGGTTGTATTAAACATAACTCATAAAGAAGGTAAAAAGTATGAGAACATCACTTGTATTTTATGCAACTTTAAATAAATGAAACATATGTTACCACTTCATTACACCAATTGAACACTAATAAATAAGTTTATGCTTTTCATCTGATAAGTACCTTTTGGTTAATCTGAAAATTTAAGCTTAGATTTTTAATATTTTACAGTTTTCATGATTTTCTAACATGTCAAATGCAGCACCAACCATGACATGAAAGTAATAAATCTATTTTTATCTCTTTTTGTAAACAGTGTCTAAAGCAGAGAAAAGGAAAATCTTGACTGACATGAATTGAAATACAGTGCCATTTAATAACAGATGAAAGAAAACGTGCTCTTGTCTTCCTACATATGTTAATATGTATGAGCTTTTTATTTTACATACATAAACACAAATATGTATCTAGTGTACTAATTATAAAACTATAGTACAGCATTCTTGGCCAGTACTGTTCCAAATATATCTTGATTTTATGCCCTTATCATACAAAGGTTAATCCTGAGGTTTTTTTATGAGCAACATAACTAAAACTGATTTTCTTTTATAAAGTTTATTTATTTTAAGAGAGAGACAGAGAGAGCACGAGTAGGGGAGGGGCAGAGAGAGAGAGGGAGAGAGATAATCCCACACAAGCAGGCTCGACCTGTCAGCACAGAGCCCTACGTGGGGTTCGAGCCCACAAACCATGAGATCATGACCTGAGATGAAATCAAAAGACGGATGCTTAACCAAGCTAAGCCATGCATGCACTCCTAAAGCTGATTGTCTTTTAATGTCTCTTGATTTATAAGTATAAATTTTCTGTTTATGTACAATTCTTCCTTTTAGCATTTTCACAGGAAGATTTAATCATGAATTTAAAATAAAATATCAACTCTCAGGAAAACAAATCTCTTCTAATGTATATGTTGTAGCTCAATCATGTTATCTTTTTTTTTCTTTGAAATTATCTTTTCTCCTTGAAATTATTTTGAAGGTATTTTACCAGTGCATTGAGATGGAAACACTTTAGTCTAATTCCCTGATATTCTAATCACCTAGCAACATATTAAGACACCTTTAAAAGAATACTTAGATTACATTGTGAAAATCAGGAAACCATTTTTGTTGACTATGGGAAACTAAGTAAGCTTATTTAATTATTTCCCAATACCAAAATTTCATTTTCTGAGAAACAAGATGAAAGAACAGCCAAATATAAAATTTATATATATTTTGCAACAGAATTATAACTAAAAAACCAAATGTCTTTGTCAAAATTCGGGAGAAAAACCTATGAAAATGGAAACCAACAGTAAAGTAATAAAAACTCAAAAACAATTTTTCAAACTGGAGCATACTACGTGGATATTTTTATTCCATATTGCTTTGTGATTGTGCTACTTTTAATAGTTAAAAATATTTTGGGGCGCCTGGGTGGCTCAGTTGGTTAAGCGTCCAACTTTGGCTCAGGTCGTGATCTTACAGTCTGTGAGTTTGAGCCCCGCATCGGGCTCTGTGCTGACAGCTCAGAGCCTGGAGCCTGCTTCGGATTCTGTGACTCCCTCTCTCTCTGACCCTCCCCCATTCATGCTCTGTCTTTCTCTGTCTCAAAAATAAACGTTAAAAAAATTTTTAATAAAAATATTTTTACCAACTTATTTTGGAATGTGAATCCTAGGTTTACTATTTAGATAACAGAATAACTTAAAATTTTTGGAACTCTAAATGTGGGTGGATTTACTGGAAACACATCATTCATGCCTTCCTTTCCTTTATCTTTTATATACATATTTTGTTCCTTTTGACATAGGGCTATTGTGCTTGGCTTCAACCTCTTTTTTGATGGGATGGTTACACAGTTGAGAATATACTGTATGTGAATTTTGCTAACTTCAATTCTAACATAGCTCTTGCTATTTTTTTTTATTTATTTCTTATTTTTTTAATGTTTATTTATTTTTGAGAGAGAGACAAAGCACGGACAGGGGAGGAGCAGAGAGAGAGGGAGACACAGAATCTGAAGCAGGCTCCGCACAGAGTCCAATGCGGGGCTCAAACCCAGGAACCATGAGATCATGACCTGAGCCGAAGTCAGATGCTCAACCAACTGAGCCACCCAGGTGCCCCACCTCTTGCTATTTTACTAAAATTTATATTTAGGGAGTCAATTCGTAAACATTCACTTGCAGCGATAACAGAACATTAGAAGTATCAAATGTTTACATATTTTATAGGCTAGGTGACTTAAAGAAACAAAAATACTCTATTACATATTTCTTAATTAGGAATTCATTACGATTTTTCCCCCTGCAAATATCCCACCAACTTTACCTGATTGTGCTTTTAAGTGCTGTGCAACATAAAATAAGATGCCATCTGCAGAAAGAGGCTGAAACTGCAACTGAATATGTGTCTTTTTCTGAATACGGAAGGAAGCAAAAGACATCCAGGATAATTCATGGCTTCTGAAAGATGGATCACTTATAGATAAAGCTAACAAAACAAAAACATGAATTAAAAAAAAATTAGTATTGCTCATATATACAGTATATTTAATTTTATCATTTAACAACTTACCTTATCTTCCAAGAGTTGCTCCTTGCTAAATAAACTGAACCATGGTAAACTTGTTCTAATCCCACTAAATGTGAGCTTATTGCAATGGGGCCAATTGTTGAAAAGCCTTCTATTATTTCTGGTAACTCTGCTCCTTTTGGCTGGTACTGTGTGGCATAGATCCTCTGCTCTAGATCGATTATATTATAGAGAGGCATCAGATGCATAGATTATGAGAATGTTTTATTCTTATCTCAAAAAATTGAGATTCTTGGGAATGTCTTACATTAAAAATGCTTCCAAACAGATGATTCCAATTGTGCAAGATAGAAGATACCACTGTATGAATTATTCTTTAGTTTTTTATTTCTGATTAAAATGTAGAATGTAATCAAGTCAAGGTTATGTTTAAAGTGACTATGTAAATGGAAGTAAGTATCAGTTTACTTGAGAATAATTTAGATCTGTATCTCTTCAGAAAGTACTAACCTTTGGGTTTTCCTTTATGGTAAGTCTAAGTAAATTAATTTCAGTATAAATTGAAGTAGAATCATTATATAGATTTATAATGTCTCATATTATTTGTTGCTTCTGTGTGTTTATGAAAGGAAGAAGGAAAGTTCTGAACGTTTGGCAGTATTTGTCTCTCTGGAATCTGTAGATTCTTTGAACCTCATTTTATAATGTGACAGTGCTTCTTAGCTGGTTCACCATATATCATTGACCTAGTTATTTTGCCTATTCTCCCTTTGGACGAGGCCTGTATTGTTGTCCTTCGGTTGACAGGTAACTGGTAGGTGTTTATTCAAGAGGTGTTGGCATTTGCTGATTTTTAAGCAATACACCATTCATTTTGACTTATTGCAGTTCAAAATGGTAGAGGTTAGAATCTCCCAGTATGACTCGTAAGAGTGTAAAGTCCTATTCCTCACTCCTAGACCAGACCCTTAATAGAGCTGAGATGGGGTCTAGGAAGTATATTTTAAAAAAACACCCAGGTGTTTCTGGCATAGGCGTTACTTGGACCATATTTTCAAAAACACTGAATTAAGGTTTAGAATACAGGGGTAGTTTAAAAAGTGAAAGTCCTTTTGAAGTCATTTTTGTTAAGTATTACTAAGGTAAACATAATCATTATAAGACATTTAAACACTATGGAAGAACGTAAAGTAAAAAGATGAAATTCCATTGTTCTTTCTCCTCTCTTAATTCCCATAAGCCACTGTTAACAGTTTATTGAATATGTAGCCAGTGTATTTTCTGATGCACATATAATTAATGTGTGTGTATATCTAGCATCTGATTTATTTCACATAAAAGAAACCATATTATATACAAACTATGCATAATGTATTTACTTTTTCCACTCAATAATCTATCTTCATGAGACTCTGATATTAGCATATTTCACCTATTGCTTCTTATGCTATTATACTAAATGTTATTGCACAGTGTTTTTAAAAATAAACTATCTTTAGGGAAATTTTAGGTTCATAGCAAAACTGAGCAGAAAGTACAGTTTCCATATACTAACCTGCTCTGCATATATAATCCCACATATATAACCTCTTCATTATCAACATCCTGCTATGGAGTCATACAGTTGTTACAACTGATGAACCTACATTGACATATAATTATCATCCAAAGTCCATGGCTTACATTAGGGATCATTTTTGGTGTACATTCTGTGGATTTTGACAAATGTATAATGACATGTATCTACCATTATAGTATCATACAGAGTAGTTTTACTGTTCTAAAAATCCTTTGGGAGCACCTGCGTGTCTCAGTTGGTTAAGAGTCTGACTCTTGATATAGGCTCAGGTCATGATCTCACGGTTCATAAGATCAGGCTTCACTGTCAGTGCAGAGCCTGCTTGGAATTCTCTCTCTACCTCTCTCTCTCTCTCTCTCTCTCTCTCTCTCTCTCTCTCTCTCCCTTCCTCTGCCTCTCCCTTGCTCTCTCTTGTGCACCCTCTCTCAAATAAACTTAAAAAAAATCCTCTGTGCTTCACCCATTTATCCCTCCTTAACAACTGGTAATCACCAATATTTTTATGGTCTCCATAGTTTTGCTTTTTCCAGCATGTCATATAGTTGGAATCACATGGTATGAAGCCCTTTCAGCTTGGCTTTTCTTCAGTTAGTAATATGCATTTTAAGTTTCCTCCATGTCTTCATGTCTCATTTCTTCATAGTTCACTTCTTTTAATGCTGAATGGTATTACATTGTATGGATGTACCACAGCTTATTTATTCATTTATCTACAGAAGCACATCCTGGTTGCTTCCTAGTTTTTGCAATTATGAAGAAAGGTGCTATGAATATCTGCATGTGTGCTTTTTGTGTGGACATAATTTTCAGCTCATTTGGTTAAATATCAAGGAGTGCAATTTCTAGATCATTGGTAAGAATATGTTTAGTGTTGTGAAACACTGTCCAACTGTCTTCCAAAGTGGCTGTACCATTTTGCATTTCCATCAGCCATGAATAAGAGTTCCTGCTGCTGCTATGCCCTTGTCAGCATTTCGTGTTGTCAGTGTTTTGGATTTTAGCCTAAAATGGTGTGTAGTGGAATGATATATGTTGATATGTCCTAGAGAGAAAAATTAGGGTGTATGCACGTGGAATTAAGGGAGGTGATATTTGAATAAAGAACTCATGAAGGTGAATAAATGACCTCTGTGGATCCTTGGGGAGACAGAAAATAATGAGTTCAAGGCCCATGAAGTGGAAACTTTCTTGCCATGATCAAGTGTGACTAGTGAGGCAATAAAGAAGGGGAGAGTTTTAAGAGAGAAGGTCAGACAGGTTATTGGACCAGATCACATTGTCAAAAAGTGATGTGTTTGAGAGTTTTCCTACTGGCAAGCTAATAAGTTAGTTTGCCACATTTCATAGATAATTGCAGAAAACATGAAACACCTGGTTCAGAGGCAAAGGACAGTTTATGACTCATAGCATAGCAGTACAAGAGTATCATAAATTTTGTGTCAGTTTCAGGAACCCCTATTCTCTTAGAAAAATGTGAAGAGGACCAAGTAACACCTACACACACATAAGTGGGTTGCTTAGAGAGGAAATCTGAGCTTAGAGGTCCAAGTCTTTTATAATGGGCAGTGAGCATGCCTGCTCTTTGCTCTGAAGGAAGACACCGTCTCTGTCTTCCAAAGCAGGAAACAAACTGGCTCTTCTCTTCAAAGTTAATATTATCAGTAGTGAGATGGATGTACATTGTGTACTCTTCAAGGGCACAGAATCATTTTCTCAAAGATTTGTAGTATTTCCGTATTTCTGCAAAGATTAAATGATTTGAATCTGGTCATACAGAAACATCAGATGGATCTAAGTGGAAGGTCACTCTACAGAATACTCTCAAGGAGATGGAAAACAGATAAGATAGAGAAACTGTTCCAGATTGAAGGAATCTGAAGAGACATGAACACCAAATGGAACATACATTCCTAGAGGGCATCCTGGATCACAATGAATAAACATATTGTTGGGGCAGTTGATGACATTTGAATTGGGTCTGTGAGTTGGATGGTAGTTTGTACTAAGGTTAACTTCCTGATCTGGAAATTTGTATGCTGGTTATATAAAATAATATCCTTTTGTTTGGGGGAAATAACCACAGGGATGTTTAGAAGTGATGGGGCATCACATCCTTAGATTGCCCTTGAAAGGTTCAGAAAAATACTAATAATGACAAATGGTGTGTGGGCATGTGTGTGTGTGTGTGGCACACAGAGAGAAGAAAATGAAATATAAAGGAAATAATTGGAGAATATGGATGAGGGAGATATGGGAATTCTTTTTATTACGGCAATTTTTCGGTAAGTTTAGAAGTATTCCAAAGTAAATCATTAAAAATTATTTTCTTTGTTGTTTCCATTACACACCTCTTTAAAAAAATTAATTTATTTATTTTGAGAGAGAAACACACAGAGAGAGAAGAGGGGAAGAAAGAGAGGGAGAGAGAGAACCACAAGTAGGCCCCTGCCCTGTCAGTGCAGAGCCCAATATGGGGCTCAATTTCATGAACCATGAGATCATCACCTGAGCCAAGATCAAGAGTCAGATGCTTAACCAACTGAGCCACCCAGGTGCCCCATACACCTCTTTTTATAAGCACTTTCAACCCTTAAAGTACCTTTCTGTTAATTGGACAAAATGACTTTTTAAACACCTCAAAAGTAAGCTCAGATACAGCAAATAAGGTATGGACTAAAAAACCAAAACAAAAGCCTCAAAGATGAAGATTAAACTGATCAACATTAAACTGATCAGCATATGATCTAGTCCTACCTGTTACTGATGGGAAGGCAGGATTACCTTGTTTTTCCTCTGAATTATAGCTTTGTACAAATCTGTAGATGTTTATATAATATCATTCATTCCCTTAGCATTTACTGTGGTTGTCTTATGGCCTAGTTAATATTTGTAAATGTTTCATAGGTCTTTGACAAGTATGTGTATTGGGAAGTGCTGTTTTCTTTATGTTCATTATGTCACATGAATTGATTGTTGTCTAAATCTTCTATATTCCTCAGTGATTTCTGTCACTTGACCTATTATTGAATTCCAGATCATATATCAGCCTACTCAACTACCCCCATGAAAGTTTAAAAGTCACCTCAACTGTGTCCAAACTAAGCTCTTCATTTCTCCAAAAATATATGCTCCTTCCATAGTCTTCTTCATTTTAGTTAGTGGCAACATCATCCTTCCAGTATCTCAGGATAAAAACTTTGCAGTTATCTTTGACTCTTGTCTTTCTTCCTTTCACATGTGATCTTTCAGCAAATTGGGTATGTTGCATTTGGTTGTCATGTCTCTTCAGATTCCTTCAGTCTGGAACAGTTTCCCTATCTTATCTGTTTTCCATCTCCTTGACAGTATTCTGTAGAGTGACCTTCCATTTAGATCCATC